TGTACAACATGGCCCATGTTTTTGCATTTGAACCAATTGTATGCTTGCATCTTTTATCTTTTCTCTTTGTGAACCAAGAAGAGCAATCTTCTTGTGATTTGCAAAGAGGAAAATAAAACATGATGAATAATAGCTCACTGATTCCGGGCGGCAAACTTTAATGATGATTTTCTTTCTTTTTCTGCTTGAAAAATTAACTGTACTAATTTCTTTTCTTTCTTCTTTTTCAGGTGAAAGCAACTTGGACGATAGAGGAAGCAGAGAAAGCAAGAGACCTTGGGCATGGGAGCACTGGAGTTTAGGAGACTTAGGCTTAGATTAGATTTCCATTTATTATAAATAATTATTATTTTAAATACTATAAGTTGTAAACTTACAATATTCAAATAATTTTTGTAACAACATTTGAAATGAATAAAAGTCTTTATCCAAAAGAATTTTTCTATTGTCACATATCTTTCAATTTTTCCTTTTGTATCTTCACTTTTTATTTAAGATATCTTATTTAAAATGACTGAAATTGCATTCCAGCATTTCCAATACAGATAACTTAAAATCCAAGTAATCCCTAAAACTTTGTAATCTCATAACTTGCGATAGCATTCAAATCAACATACGTGTGGTATTCCAAACAAGCAAGCATTCCATTAATTGGAAAGCATTTTATTCCATTAACAAGCAGATGTTTTAACAGACACACATCATCTGGTTAATCCGGATTAGACAGTTTCAGCTCCTATATCTTATCCCAGATTAATCAAGCCTTGGGAACAACCAATAAATTTGAACAAGCGTGAAAACAATATAACAGTTAACTGAATTTCTGAGGATTCAATTTCTTCTGAGAAATGCGAGAGAAAACCTGATTCTTTAATTTACGGCCAAAGAAAAGTCTGTTTGATCGATTCCTGAGCCGATCTTTAAAAATCAGAGAAAACCCTAGGGTTGTGATTTCTTGTGAAAAAGGGAGGGCAAATTTTGGGGTACAACAGACCTTGTACATGGGGAAGCGGTCTTCCTCGAACTCCGAGCATATTCGAGCTGTGGGCGTCGATCACAAGATCTAGAAGTTCCTTTAGAAACCTTCCTGATCGCCGCCATACTCGACGACAGTATAAGCCTGCCTCCTACTATAACTGTATATCGAGGCTATTCCTCGAGGATCTGCCCTAACCCAAGCTAATGCAGGATCATCGACTGTGTCAACCTAGTTGACACCCTCCTCGGCTGCGCTGGTCTCTTCGGCGTCCATGTGCTCGAAAGATTCGGGAGTGTCAACCATTTTACCTGTAAAGCAGAGGAAAGGGTTATGCGGCACCCAGACCAAGTCGACAGTCACTCGTGCAGAAGGGGGAATAAACGACCCTCGACCAGGGCATGAAAATCATGTCAGTCTTATAAGGCCACACATCGGTTATAACGACGAACGTTTGTTTTCATGAACACCCCAGGTACAAGATGAATACAACGAGCAAAGTATGAATTTGATGGCCAAACTCATGAATTCGCCGGGGATTTCATAAATTTCTTGTGCAAAATTCATGAATTTCGCGGGGACGTATTGAGACCACGAGGTAAACTTATCTAAGTGTTTGTGAAAAGATGAATATCACGAGCTGAATCACGAATAATACACATGAATACATGAATACCCCAAGTAAAACCCCCCAGTTGCAAAATTCTACAACTAAAACATCATCAAAGCCAATCTAAACAAAGAGTATCACGAAAAATACTTACTTGGACAAGAGTAGATGAAGAATAACGAGGGTAAAGGAAGAACACACAGCAGATTCTGCAGCGGCGTTAGCGGTTAAATAAAATGGCACGGTGTTGACAATAGGGAGAGTGAAGAGCGCGAGAATGTAAAGGTGAATAATGGGCCTTGGGGCGCTATATATAGAGCTGACGTGGAATACGAAACATCGTATCGGGCAGCTCACCAACCGCCCTTCTCCTCGACATCTACGCGCTCAATTAATGATGGACCTACTCCCTAGGCCATCATTACAATCCCAAAGGTCATGCCACGTGTTTACACCCCGCAGGCTTTCCTCTCCTCGCTAGTCGAGGAACAACTAGAATGATTCCATCTGGAATCCATTTCGAACGCTGTCCGTTAACACAATGAAAGATCATCGTCAAGTAACACACCTCATAAAAGAAAAAGCTGGACTTAAGTCATAACTCCTTCATCAGGAGAAACGACTCAGGGGGCTCATGTTCTGGACTGGGCCAACCCTTAGCCCAACTTCATGTGAGGTCCAACCCAATTATTCCACTCTCTGCGAGGAGGAAGCCTCACCACACGGGGATAACCCAGTTAGTCTTAGAAAGATCATCGCCGGTCAGGAGGACCTCGAGGTCACCCTCCAATCCTCTCCTCGACCAAGACTGATCCTCCCACAGGACTTCGCGTCTGGCGGAGAGCATCCACGACGAGCAGAAGCACCCCACGAGCATCCTTCTTGTAGGATTGACTATCAACGTCTCCGAATATCACAGAGTTTTCGTGGCCCCGAAAAGACCACATCCATATCCTCCTGATTGTGCGGAGGAAGTCATCCAGGTGGAGGACCACGTGGTGGTCCCCACTACTCACGTAGGAGCTGACAGTCTCCACTTTGGGCCTGCTTGACCAGCCCAATGAGGAGACCTTGGTCCAGCGCTGGGGGCTATAAATACCCTCTCTCTTGAGAGGGTCAGGTATTGAACATTTCTCACTCTCTTACTTTTTCGCACCATTCTGTATCTCATTTTGGCATCAGAGTGTCTTGCAGGTACCCCCCATCTCACTCTCAAGTTCTGCTCGACGTAAACTGTGACGGTCCATTCTGGTCAGGTACCATAAAAAAATATAAGTATATGTTGTAGCACATTTCACACAGAGATATATAAAATCGATTATCTAGCCGTGCATCACATAATATCATTATAAGTAATAAATATATATCGTATAATGATGGTTAGGAAATATATATATATAAACTAGTTTTGGTCCATCGAAAATATATATTTTAGTTAAAAAATAAATGAAATAATTAAATAGTCATTTACTCGTGCGTTCGTATGTGTCACATATCATCGTTATAAATAGTAAATAAATATAATATGGTTAATATATGTATATAGTAAATAGTAAATAAATATAGTATAGTGATGATTAAAAAAATATATGTTATTATGAATAGTTCATAAATATAGTATAATGATAATTAAAAAAATTATATAAAATATATATAAATTAAGTATTTTTGATTTGTCAAAAATATATATTTTAATAGAAGAAAAAAAAATTTAGTAGTCATCTATCCGTGTGTTTGTCTGAGTCATACAATATCATTATAAATAGTAAATAAATATAATATAATGATGTTTAGAAAATGTATATAAAATATAAAAAAAATCAAAATTGTGTTTTCATAAGAAATTTATGTATTCATCAATCATAATTGTCTTATTTTTTTTTTGTAAAAATAAATATTTGTACCATTTTTTAATATAAATGTTAACACTTTATCATAAAAAAGCTAACATTTTTTCAAGTCAATTTTATTTTTCTTGTATCATGTCATAATATCACATATCATTTTTCATTAATATATGATATTTATTTATTTAAAAAAATATAAGAGAAATCATATTTAATAGATTGAATTAATTTTTATAGAAGTGATCAAAATTTTTCCATTCTAAGTCAAAAACAAATTTGAAAAACTAAAATAAAATTGAATTATTAGTATTGTATTAAGAATTTCATATAAAAAATATTTTTTATAAGATTAAAAAATATTTATAATTTTTTATATTTTAGGAAGTAAATAAAAAAAATAGAGTATTGTATATGATTTTTCGTTAAATATATAATATTCTTTTAAAAAAAAAATCTATAAAAAATAATAGTTAATTGGTTGAATCAATATCAAAAGATTTCCCATTTTAGGTCAAAGTAAATTGTAAAAAATAAAATAAAATTGAATTTATAAGTAAATTAATTAATTAACGTTTTAAATTTATATCATAATTTCATCTTTATTTTTATCCTTGTTTTTGTTACGACCCTCTTAAATAACAAATTTAACTTTTTAATTTACAGTAGAAACTCTTTAAATCAATAATGTCAGGACATAATTTTTTTATTAATTTAGAGAGTTATTAATTTATCGATAAATTAATAATTAATAATTATTAATTTAAAGAGTTTTTAAGTAATTACACTGTACATACCAAACAAAAAGGCAAATTAGTCTATGCCTCTTAGAATTACGTCGCAACGAACCTTGGGACTCAATGTAAATTAGTAATTACCGTATTCATATATATTAGAAATTAATAATGAATTTTGAAGTACAATAAATGTAAACAAGAGGAACAAATGTGCTTAATGTATTCTTAAACAAGTTTGGCATATATAAATTACATGAATATGTTAGAGTATTCAAACCATATCTCACAAGATGACTTCTCATCTAAAAGGTGTTGCAAAATCAACTATGTCAGATCAAATACGTAAGGAGTTATGTGAGTACAAGAGAGATAATCCTGCAAGCACACAAAAAGACTTGCAAAGATGGCTTGAGGGAAAATTTTAGTTAAAAGTTAGTCAAGGAACAATATCAAACACACTTAAACGGCCAGATGACTATCTCTATGCTGAAATAGAAAAGGGAAGAGCAGAAATCAAAAGACACAAACTAGCAAAATATCCTGATATGGAGAAGGTTGTTTATGAGTGGTTTCTCCAGCATTAAGAACGTGTGAATATCACAGGAGAATTAATTTTGTAGAAGGCAAGAGATATAATGAAACTCGTGTACCCTCATGATGATTCAAATTTTAACTTCTCTATAGGATGGCTTGGGAAATTCAAACACTGATATGGCATAAAGTCATTTCATCGTTTTGGCGAGAGTGAGTTTGTTGATGTACAAGACATGGAGTAGAAATTGATACTGATTCGGGAGAAAATTGATCAGTCCCCTATGAAAGATGTTTTCAATATGGATGAAACTGAGTTGTTTTATAGGCTACAAGCTGATCATTCACTGGCAACAAAACACCTTGAAGGAAGAAAACAAGATAAAGAAAGACTGACAATAGTTATTTGTTGCAATGAAGATAGCTCTGGAAAAATCCCTCTATGGATTATTGGGAAATATGCAAAGCCTCGTTGCTTCAAGAATGTCAACATGAATAGCTTGGATTGTCAGTATCGAGTTAACAAAAAAACATGGATGACTAGTGTGCTTTTTGATAAATATGTTCGTTCATTTGACCAAATGATGTATGGTAGAAGAGTTTTACTTGTGGTGGATAATTGTCCAACACATCCAAGAAATATTGAAGGGCTAAGAAACATTGAGTTGTTCTTCTTTCCACCCAACATGACATCAAAGATTCAAACTTGTAATGCTGGGATAATAAGAGCTTTCAAGATGCATTACCGTAGAAGGTTTTACCGCAAAATATTGGAAGGTTATGAGGTGGGACAATCTAATCCAGGGAAGATAAATGTCCTTGATGCTATCAATTTAGCAATCCCATCTTGGACGATAGATGCTCGAAAAGAAACAATAGCGAATTTCTTACGACACTGTAAAATTCGATCAACTAGTGACGTTGCAAGAAATTTGGATGAATCCACTTTTGATGAAGAAACTCAAGACCTCGAGACTATGATCAATCAATGTGGCTATCGTAATAAGATGAATATCGACAATCTAATGAACTATCCAGGTGAAAATGAAGCATGTTCGAAGGTTCAGAGTTTAGAAGATATTGTGGGTACTATCATTGAGAATAATGCAGAGGATGACGGCGAAGATGATACAGTGTCTTTGGAGTCCGTTACGCGAAAGGAAGCACTTATGGCGTCGAACACTCTTCACAATTTTATGATACAATACAAAAATACAACACCTGAGCTATTTGATGCAATAAGAAAAGTTAGAGATGAGCTCTAAATAGACTTGAACTTAAAAAAAAAATAGATAACTATTGAATCATATTTCAATATAGTGTAATATATATATTTTTTCCAGTTTCTATGAATTATTAATTTATGATTTCTTGGGACCGAAAATTATAAAGGGATCTCCTGAAAAATTATTATCTTATTATTTTATCGAGTTTTTCAATTTTTTACATAGACCCAAGTCGGAACCGGACAAATTTATTATTTTAGAGAGTTTATTAATTTACCGAGTACTATTAGTTTAAAGAGTTTCTACTGTATTTATAAAAGGATAAACAAAAGATCTATATATAATCTTACACTTTTGTATGTCTTAGTCACTTCTACACAACTTCATATTTTAACTTTTAACTTCACGAATTCATTGATACATTTAAAACGTAATTTTTTCTTTAAAAAAAAATATAAAACCGTTTATATTATTTTAGGATGATAAAAAACATATTAATGATATTTATTTCATTTTTAACTCTTAAGAATTATTTTAACAATATACATAAATAATAATAATAATAAAAAAAATAAAAAATAATAATAATAACATAATATTATTTAATTTTACAATAATGGTCATTGATTTTGTCAACAATATATTTTTTATCTATATAAAAATTAATTTTGTTTTAGCTTCCATTCATAAAAATATTTGGATCAACTTATATTAAATAAGATCATTTAGTTAAAAAATAGAATTACTTAAATATATTAAATTAAATCTATTAAATAAAAAATAGAATTATATAAATATATTAAATAAAATCTAATTATACTTTATTACATACAGTTGAAGTATATAATTTTCCTAATTATAAAAAAAAAAAAATGGCTACATTTAGATAACAAATTTGATTCAAAAGTATAATGTTAAAACTTTCACCATTTTTTATTTTCAAATTTCATAAAAAAATTAGTTGACACCAAACAACTTTAATTATTATTAAAGTAGTTTTATTCTAGTTTTTTTAATGCAAATTGTCAATATTATTAAATAAATTAATAAAAGTATTTAAATGAGTTGTCTAATAAAGTATGAGTATTCATTGTGTGTTGATGTATCATATTTATTCAACTATTGATAAATAAATTTATTTGAATGTTCTTGTCTAGTCTAACAACTTTTTACTAATAAAATATTATATTTTTAATTAAATAAATTTTAATATTATTATAATAAAAATAAAGGGTCAAATATTAATTTAAAAATAAAATAAAATCTATACATCCAAATGTACCTTAATGTTATCAACATAATAATTTCATTAAATATTTGTTTGATTAGTATAATAACATATATTAATTTATATCCACCATTATCACGCTTATAAATACATAAATCTATTACAAAAAAATCGATTAAATTTAGACCGACTATTATCATATTTATTAATGTATAAATCTATTACCAAAAAAATCGTTAGTAGGTAATAAAATCTGATTTAAAAAATTAGATGTGAAGACTATAAAATCCATAAAAAATTAGTTGTGCATAATATTAATAACACCGAATCGCACTATGTTTCTGACTCGAATATCACATGTTTTCCTTAGTTTTATTATTGTTTTTCTAGTATTATGCCCTTGTTTCCTTTGTTTTCAGGTCACATGTCCTTTCAGAGCCTTCAGAGAAGAAACGAGCGAAAACGCCAGAAAAATAGGGTTTTTCCAAGAAAATACACACATGACGTCCAGCTCCGCGCCGGCTACAGGGAGCGCGCTGACATGGCGCACTTTCACCCAGGGGTCAACTGCCACGTTCCCACGATCTCTCCATTTTCACTCACCGCGTCCGCGGGGAGGGTGGCCGCGCCCGCGGCCTTCACAAGCCATTTCCCGCTCAGAAGGAGTTGAGGGGCATGCTCGTCTTTACAGAGTTTCAGGATCTTCTATAAATAGCAAGTTCATTTCATTTTCGTTTTGATCCAAACTTAGATGCAAACTTAGATCCAGTCAAGTTACTGCTTAGGCATATATTACTACTTTGTAAAGTGATAATCTTCTCACATCGGGAAGTTATCACACTTGAGTGTGCGAGTTTGTATTCAAGTTTGGAGCACTTTGGTTGAAGTTTATCATACTATCTTTTACATTTCCACGATTTGTATCAGATTCAAGCCTCCGATTGGAGCAAGGTTCTAATTTAATTGCTTTCATTTATTTTATGCTCTTACCATAGTCTACATGTTTTATAGACTCTAAATGCTCTTACCATAGTCTACATGTTTTATAGACACTAAATGCTCTTACCATAGTCTACACGTTTTATAGACTCTAAATTCTCTTACCATAGTCTACATATTTTATAGACTCTAAACGCTCTTACCATAGTCTACACGTTTTATAGACTCTAAACGCTCTTACCATAGTCTACACGTTTTATAGACTTTAAACGCTTACCATGTCTAGCTAAATTTATTAGGGTTAGAATGTAAGGATCGAATCATAACTATGTTCTGCATGCCATGCTAATAGAAATACCTTTGGGATGTTTTAGTTTTTAATACTGGTTTAAATGTGTTTAAAAGTTTATAGGTAAGATCGAAAGCCGTCCATACTTGAGATTATGCCAGATTAGTTCTTGACCAAACGAAAAGAGCGAAAGCAGTTCGTTTGGTTAAGTAGGATTACTTGATATACTTTTAGAAAACGATTTTGAAACTATTTGCGAACGCGTTTGTGGGATTAAAATCTGATTCTTGGTCAAAAGCCAAGGATCTCTTTAAGTTAAGTTTTCCAAATTAAAACACTTTTTCACTAAGTCAAAATAACTTATTTCTTAAAAATAGGTTTACTTCTTTAACGCGTTAGGCACCCTTTATAAGTGACAATAAATGAATTTAATTTAAAGAGTAAACTCGGTTCTTAGTATGCGAAAGCTACAAGTTCCTGTTAAACAGTTCTTTTCTATAAATGGAAAATATTGCCCAAAAGTAAATACTATACATGCATGCTAGGACACTGTCTGATCTCGTGATTTACATTTGATCCCGTTTGTTTTATCTCTTTAATTTTATTCTCTTTTATTTCTCTGTACTGAACTCAATCCCTTACTGATATGCCTTAGATAAACACCTTAACAATAGAGTCGATAGATTGACAATTGGTCTCTGTGGTTCGATAATCTTATATATAACTTCTATAGGCTGTGCACTTGCAATTATAATTTAGACTATACAGTAAAAGCCCATCAAGTTTTTGGCGCCGTTGCCGGGGACCAACTTTGCCAAATTTCGTACCCTTTTTGTTATCCCGTTTAGACTAAGGCTACTTATTTAGCCGGTAGATGCGTAGAAATCGTAGCACCGGTAACCTAATAGATCCTTTAGTAGAACCTGAACGTTTCGCTCGAGCCCATCTCTTTATACGAAAGTTGAAGAAAGCTATGTCCGATGACCGTAATCAAAGACCGCTTAAGGAATTTGCCCAACCATCTAACGAGGAACCTAGTTCTAGTATAGTAAATCCAGCTATAACAACTAACAAAACCCTCGCTATTACAATTAGTTCAACAAAACCAATTCGCTGGTCTCGCTACCGAGAACCAGAATCAACACTTGAAGGCATTTATCCAATTAGCTGACACCCTCAAAGCAAATGGTGCCACATCTGAAGAAATACGCCTAAGATTGTTTCCATTCTCTCTAAGAGGGAAATCTCAAGATTGGTTAGATTCCCTCCCTGCCAATTCGATAACAACTTGGGAGGACCTTAGAAGAGTGTTCCTTTCCAGGTATTTCCCCCTAGCAAAACCTCTATTCTTAGAAACCTGATCACTAGATTCACCCAAAACCAGGGAGAATCTGTATTTGAAGCTTGGGAAAGATATAAAGACCTTTTAAGAGCTTGTCCACACCATGGCCTAGAGCAATGGTTGATCATTCACACCTTCTATGATGGACTCCATTGTAATACCAAAATGTCTATCACCGCCGCCGCAGGTGGTGTGCTGATGAACAAACCTTACCCTGAAGCTTGTGCCCTGATTGAAGATATGGCCCAAAATCATTACCAATGGGGGGGCAGAACGAGCGACAGTGGAGAAGAAGGAGACCCAAGGAGGGGTGCATGAGATAAGTAGCATGAACATGATGCAAGCTAAAATGGATGCCCTAGCCTTAAGAGTAGATAACATATCCCAAAACCCTGCCACAGTAGCTGCACTCCACTCGGAATGCGAACTCTGTGGAACCCAAGGACATCCAACTTCAGATTGTTACCTGTTGAATGAGTCTAGCTCAGAACAAGTCAATTACACCCAAGGAAACCCGTTCTCGAACACCTATAACCCTGGATGGAGGAATCACCCGTATTTTTCCTATAAAAACAACAATCCAATCCAACATCCTGGAACACCCAGACCGCAAGGTTTTCAACCTCAAAAATCAAACCAACCTATGCAAGTTGTGCCACCAAGACCAAATCTTAGGGAAACCCTAGATACTTTTATCGCAACCCAGACTCAGCAAAACAAAGAATTTATGAACCAAAACGCCCATACAAACGAACTAGTAACACAACTAGCAACTAAGTTTGACCAAATAATGACCCATCATAAGATTCTTGAGACTCATATCTCGCAAGTAGCTCAAACACAAGCCACGCAAACCACACCTGGAGGACAATTCCCTGGACAAACTCAACCTAATCCTAAAGGACAAGCGGATGCTATCACTCTAAGAAGTGGAACCGCTTACGGTGGACCAAAACTTCCAACGATGTGTGTACCCGAAAAACCAAAAAAAGATAGCATACCTGGGGACCAAGTAGAGAAACCAGAGGAACCAAGAATCCAACAGAACCAGGTGGAAGAATCGAAAGATAAAACTTATACACCACCTCCACCCTATGAACCTCCAATACCATACCCACAAAGACTTAAACAAACCAAGATAGAAAGCCAATACCAAAAATTCATCAAAGTAATAGAGAAACTCCATGTAGAGATTCCCTTTACCGAAGCGATTACCCAAATACCATCATATGCTAAATTCT